GAGATCTCCCATCTACTGGCTCACTCCCCAAATGGCTGGAAAGTCTGGAGCTGGGCCACACCGAAGCCAGGAGCCAGGAGCTCCCTCTGGGTGCCCCATGCGGGTTCAGGGGCCCAAGAACATGGGCCACCCCTTACTGCCCTCCTAAGTGCATTAGAAGGGAGCTGGATTTGGAAGTAGGGCAGCCAGGAATTGAACCTGTGCCCAAATGGGATGCTGGTGATGCAGGCAATGGCTTAACCTTCTATGCCAAAGTGCTGGCCCCTAAAAGAATTCTTAAAGGAAGCTTTTCGCCCATGAGAGAGAGTATTTCAGGCACGGAAAGCCAAGACACTGTGGCAAAAAATGACCTAAATGAAAGATCTCTTTGAGTGAGATCCTGGTGGCCATCAAAGAAGGAGGTATCTTTCTCTGAAGGGAGAAGAGAACTTCCACTTTGATTATGGCCTTGTCTAAATAAGATTGGAGTTTGTGAACTCAAGAGGCTTCCATAGTCTTGACAGCTCATGACAAGAGCCTCGGGTGATTACTGACGTCATAAATAAGAGTGTCAGTTGTTAAATCAACAATGGGAGTTACTGTGCACTTGCTCCCCATGTAGGATCTCTGTCCTTAATGTGTTGTACTATGAGAATTAACAGTAAAACTAGTCTTCAAACAGTACTTTATACTTTGTGTGTCCATGTGGGTGCAAACTGTTGAAATGTACTTATTATAGATTTGATCTCCTGTATATAAAGATAATTAAAAATGAATCTTAAGAATGGGATGGGAGAGGGATTAAGAGATGGGATGGTTTGCGGGCGCGAAGGTGGTAATTGGGGAAAGAATCACTATAATCCAAAAATTGTACTTTGGAAATCTATATTTAATAATTAAAAGTTTAAAATAAATAAATAAATATGTGTACCTGCAAAAAAAAAAGGAAGCTTTTCATCACAGAAGTAAATGATATTAGAGGAAACTGGAAACAATCAGAATGAAAAGCAACAGAAATAATAAATGTCTGGGTGAATATAATACACCATTCTTTATGATTTTTTTGCAGTATATGTGAATGCAAGCAAACATTAAGACACTATGTAATGGAATTCTCAGTAAATGTAAATGTAATACACAGATAATAACTACCTAAAATGGGAGGGTTAAATAACTCATGTTGTCATTTTTCTGTATTCCACTAGAAGTGGCAAAACATTGATCTTAAGTATATTATGAAAAGTTAAGTATGTATTTCACAATCCTCCAAGTCATATAAACCTATACCAAAAAGCCAAAATCAAAACAGATTAATGTTAATATTAAAATATTTCAATCAACTCCAAATAAGGTAGGAAAGAGAAAACAGAAATAAAATTTTAAAATATATAAAATTATATATCTAATTCAAAAACATCAATAACATTAAGTATAAGTAGTCTAACCTCATTAAATAAAAGAAATGCTTCACTTAAAATATTATGATATTAAAAACAAAGCAAACAAATGGTGCAAACTAATTAAAAGGAAGCTAGAATGGGGCTCCACTAATCATGGACCAGTTTTTGTCATCTTGGAAAACTTATTTGCAAAAAATCCTTGTGCAAATTCTTTTTAAACGTTTTTATTGGTAGAGGGAAGATTGGATGGTTTCATTTTATGAGTCAGACTTCAGAAGGAATGCTTATTTTTTCCTATATCTAAAAAGTACATTCCAATTATTATAGTAAAACTGATGCTCTGTTTCTGTGACTTCGTGCATATTCAAAGAACTTTTAATTCAGTACTGAATTATAATCAGTGCTGGATTACAATACTTTGATCTGTATATTATATGACCATTTAAGTTAAATTGAACTTAACCAGTTTTATTAATAATGTACATTAATGAAGTGATGATAGCATCCTTGAACCATATTATTACCTTTAAGCAGTGACAACTGTCACAATTTTCTCCTGGCAAAAAGATCTTTTAAGGGATCATAGATTATAAGAAGCAATTAAAGGGCCTGGTGCTGTAGTGTAGATGCCATCTACAGTGCTGGCATCCCATATGGTCGCTGGTTTGATTCCCGGCTGCTCCACTTCAGATCCAGCTCTCTGCTATGGCCTGGGAAAGCAGTAGAAGATGGCCCAAGTGCTTGGGCCCCAGCACCTGCGTGGGAGACCTGGAGGAAGCTCCTGGCTCCTGGCTTCGGATCAGCACAGCTCTGGCTATTGCAGCCAATTGAGGAGTGAACCAATTTATGTAAGACCTCTCTCTCTGCCTCTCCTCTCTATGTGTAACTCTGACTTTCAAATAAATAAACAAGTAAATCTTTTAAAAAATAAAGATTTATTTATTTACTTTTTTGAAAGTCAGAGTTACAAAGAGAGAGGAGAGGCAGAGAGAGGGAGAGAGATCTTCCATCTGATGGTTCACTCCCCAATTGAACGCAACGGCTGGAGCTGCATCAATCTGAAGCCAGGAGTCAGGAGCTCCTTCCAGGTCTCCCATGTGGGTGCAGGAGCCCCAGGACTTGGGCCATCTTCTACTGCTTTCCCAGGCTATAACAGAGAGCTGGATCAGAAGAGGAGCAGCCAGGACTAGAACTATTGCCTATATGGGATGCTGGCACTTCAGGCCAGGGCGTTAACCCGCTGCGCCACAGCACTTGCTCCAATAAATAAATCTTAAAAAAAAAAAAAAAAAGAAAGAAAGAAAAAGAAGAAGCAATTACATTTCGAAGTAGTTTTAGATTTGATGGTATATGGTCAATGTATAGAAAGATTTCTGGAAGGTCACATACTTCAAAGTGATCATGTTATTTATTTGTGGGTCAGTCAACTGGTTAATATGTTCTCACCACTTGAGATATAGTGGTGAACAAAACATTTAAACTCTGATCTGTGGAGCTCCCATTTTATCAGAACAGACAATAAGTAATCAATATAATAAATATTTTAGATGATAAGAGGTATGAAGAAAAAAGAATAAAGGAAGGGGGAGATAATGGGAGTAGGGGTTGAGTGGGAAGAATGGGCCTTGGTTTTGGGTTTAGGGTAGTCAGGATAATCCCTCTGAGAAGAGTCAGTGAAGGAAAGGAGGAGTTGGCTAAGCGGATATCTGACGGGAGAGTTTCCAGGCAGGGGAATAGCTGGTTTCAAAGCTCATAGGCTGATGATGTGTGATACATGGTCCAGCAAGAAGCCAGCAAGGTACAGCAATGAACAAAACAGGAGAGTGTGGGGGGAGGTATTATATTGTGTGAAGGCTTTTAGACTCTCATAGGATTGAAATTTTGCTTGTAAAGCAGGCATTGATGATAGAAGTATTGAAGCATTTTACAGCTTCTGTTACCATGTCTCTTCTCTTTTCTACGGAGCCTTCCCTGACTTTCTTCCTCCTTATTTGAACACACATACACTTTTTAAAAAATTTCTTTTGATTGAAACAGTACCTACTTAGAATATTTTATATTTATTTAGTGCTTAATATATTAGGTATCATTATTTCAGTTTGCTCCAAGCAGTAGTCTTTTTGTAGTACCAAAAGAACAGTTATGATCACAGTTCTGTCTCTCCAGAGAGACATCCTGAATGTTACCTGCCCGTTGTTACACACCAACTTTGAAAGAGAAAACAAGTCATAGAAGTCAGAGAGAACACGTGGGCATCCCTTCTCCCCTAAAGAGCAGTCACTATGTTTTTATGTGACTGATGGTGTTTTCTGGGCTGGTCCATATTTATACATTTATAAGTTCATGATTTACATATTTATGATTTAGTGAAGACATTGGCTTTTTCTTGAGATGACTTATTTACTAGTATGGAGAGAGGATTTCTGACTGTTGGACACGCCTTGAGGCCAATTCTGGGCTCAGGTGTGGTGACAGGAAAGTTTCTAGTAAGGGCACTGTAGGTGGTGTCACTTTTTAAAATCTGGGAGAGTAATACTATCTTTATTATTCCTGGAGGAAATGAGTAAGTGGAGCATGTGAAAGAGAAATTACACCACTGAGATGACCTCTTACTCCAGGGAATCTTCACTTATCTCTCCTTTGTAAGATGATTAATGGATTGATTTTATTTAAACTGTGGGAAACAAATGAAACCATTAAGTGTTTATATTGAAAGCAAATACATTAATAAAGGCAAGGAACTTTCTGTAGGCCACATGGCCTGCCCTCAGCCCATAAATGCTCCTTCTGACTTTCCAACACAACTGCCAAACACTGCCTCCACACATTCTTTTTGAAACATCTTTTCCATTCCAAATCCACTTGGTACTTTCATTATGGTCTTGTTAAAATTGCAAGATGTCCAAAGGGACTTGCAAGATAGATTTTTCCTTTATTGAGGAGGAGCAAAATAGGAAGTATATAAAAGCATTGCTAGTCAGCATGCCTTCAGGGGGACATATTAAAGAAAAATAGTGATACTTCTATGGGAAGAAGATCTTTTAAGTTGACATTGTTTTAATGTTATGCTTTTGGACTAATGTACATACTTTCTCTTTATTTTAGCACCTTGTACAACATCCTGGATAGGGCTGCAGGGACAGATAATACAGTTTTATTTACATGTGGAATAAATAAGTGGTTGTACATACCAAGATATAGCAACTTTATTTAAGTGCAGGCATGCACTTACAATATTGTTTTTCAGAACTGGTTGAATTTTATCTGATTTTGCATCTCTCCCCTAGCTTAGCCTTAAAGACTTTTTATGGGGACTCAATAACTCTCTCTAAATTCTCGTAAGTGGGTACAAAAGATTATGGAGGTCTGATAACTGATTTTGTGTGCTCATAAATATAGGCATATATGCATAAATATAATACAACTCTAGCAAATGTCAAACTCATCCATCATCCCGATCCATCCTAATTGTATGATAATTCCTTTCATATTCCTTTGCAGACAGCCATAAAGAGCAGCAATAAATGGTTTGGAGTAGGGAGGATATAGGCCTGGATGCTAATTCTCATAGGCAGGTAAAAAGATGGTGAATTATACTTCAAAATTATTTTTCTCTTTTAGATCCTGAGTTTACCTGAGTTGATTGATGATTCCAAGTATAAAACTAACCGCCTTCGGGTACAGAATAGAAAAGAGCTCATTAAAACGCTTTCTACACGGTAAGCTTTGATCTACTACTTATGCACTTGAGAATTAACATGTGACAATTTTTTTTATTTGGCAGGCAGAGTTAGACAGTGAGAGAGTGACAGAGAGAAAGGTCTTGCTTCCATTGCTTCACCCCCCAAATGGCTGCCACGGCCGGCACTATGCTGATCCGAAGCCAGGAGCCAGGTGTTTCCTCCTAGTCTCCCATCAGGGTGCAGGGACCCAAGCACTTGGGCCATCCTTCACTGCCCTCCCAGACCACAGCAGAGAGCTGGACTGGAAGAGCAGCAACCGGGACTAGAACCTGGCGCCCATATGGGATGCCGGCGCTGCAGGCAGAGGATTAACCAAGTGAGCCAGGGCGCCGGCCCCTTGTGATAAGTTTTTAATCTCTGTTTTTTGGTTTTTTTTTGGGGGGGGGGAGGGGTGACTTTTAGGAGGCTTATTTAGATCAACTTTTAATTCTCTTCCACAAAATTGGTCAGCAGAAAGATATTTTAAAGCTATGTGGGATTATTTTTTGTTTTTGTTGTTCTAAAACATTTGAAAGCATTTAAATGTTTTATTAACTACTGAGTCATAATGATGATGTGAATAAGAAAGTCACAATGACATGAACATGGTTGCTTCTCTGTGGTCTCAATTGGATTTAGTGTATCATAAATAGTTTTAATAATACTTTGACGTTATTTCGTACTTTTACTATGTTAAATCTCTACATATCTTAATTCATTTATAATTGTTTTGTGGCATATAGTCTGTCATTTTCATTTTACAGAAACAGAAATTAAGGCAAAGGGAAATGAAGGAAGAGTTTGTTGACTTTTCTGAGTCCTCCCTGTGAATCATGATGATGACTCTGGATCACTAGTGTTAGATTATGTATGGGTCAGGGAAGATTAATGTCAATTCATCAGAGCATTTGATGTCCAGGTTATTCCACTCATGTCAGGTTACACTTTTGTAAAAACCTGGATCAATTTTTGCAGTTCCTTTCCAGATGTTTTAAAAAAGGTAATAATTGCTACTTTTCCTATCAGTTACACTTTTGTTTGCTTCTAAGTGTTTTCTCAATCTGTAGAAATACATTTTGTGGCTTTTGTTGATTAAAATGTCCACATGAGCTGTTATCCACTCTTGCAACATACCAATAAATTATGTACTTTTTGTTCAAATAATATATCTCGTCTTTTGAAAAGGCCCATATGTCTGTATGTAGTGTATATCAAAGTTTTTATAAAATAAAATGTTGCTTACTTTATTTTTCTTTTCCCTTCTGTATTTGTAGATCCCTACAAAAATTCAACTCAACAGTACTTTACCTATTTGCTATTTCCTAGCTGTTAATCCCTTCTTCTCTTCAGTTGCTCTATCTCCTCCATGTGCTAAATGCTCTCCACATCAATGAGGCTCTGTGTGTAGAGAATGAAGAAATGAGAATTGGGTATTCCTTTACTTGTCATTAGTTAAATATAACTCTGGTTCTACCAAAAAGCCTCAGAGCACTCAGTGATTAACCTTTCTCCACATTAGAATTGCCCATTTATTTCTGCTTTTTGCCTCTTTGCCTCTCAAGCATTTTCAATTCATTTAACTCATTGATATGACTTTTTCCTTTCATACCATAGTTACCCAGCTTCAATAATAGCCTCTTGTGAAAACCTTATCAAAAGCTCTTTGATAGTCTAAATAAATTATGTCCATGCTGTGAGAAGAGTAGATCCCAAGAAAAATACAAGACCTAAGCAGATACAAGTGTCATCTTGTTATTTAGTTGCCAGCACTTTTATAGTTTCATGAACAACTAAGTTAAGTCATTAGTTTCCTATGTCCTAAAAGTTTTATTCCTTGCTAAATACTGTTACAGAATTCTACTGTGGAAAGACATTTAGCAGCATCTGTAATGATTAATTTTTATTTTTCCACTTTGTAGTGAATTAAATAATCTGTCACCTTGTTTGTACTCTGACATACACAAAAGTGAGAGTTTCAGCATTTTGGAACTCATAACTCATTTGTTCTGTTTTTATTCCAACTTGATATGGAATAAGGAATCACTCTTAAAGGGAGAGACCAGCAGGTAGTCTTAAGTGAGAAAATTTGATAGAGCATCGTAGGTATTCTGTTGAAGGACAGAAGCCCTTGGTTGCTTGGAGGCCCAGTTTCATGCTCTGTTCTGCTAGTGTGTTGATATTTTTTGGTGCTCTCTTATGGTTTGCAGTTCTCCAAGTCTCTTTCAACTCAAATCTCCTCTCTATTATGGACTAAATAGTGACGAGCAGGGAAGATTAGGATTCTGGTTCATTCCCATTAATAATTTCATCATTTGTTTTTCTGAGCAAATGTCACTGGGTTCATTAGTACTGTTTAGTGTTTGACTTTCAGACGTCTCTGAAAATGCTATCAAGCTTATAATTTTCAGTATATGATTGTATGCTTTTCTAATATTCTAAAACTTGAGTGGCTTCCCATGAATTACAGGTTTAAATTTGTTCTCTTCAGCCTGGCATCCAAGATCTTCCACAACCTGACATCACTTTTCCCGTTCCCATTTTCTCCTAGTACATTTCAGTAGAAAACCCCTGCTGCAGCCACACTCCCTTTTGGTTTCTTCTGTTTCCTCTCTGGAAAGCATCCCAGACTTCCCATTATTCTGAAACAGCCATGATTGAAGGGTAGCTCCTCGTTTCCCTGAGAGTGCCCTAATGTCTATCTGGGTTCTCAGTCAGATGACAATACCATGAAGAAAGGAGGTGCCCTTTTCGTGCCTTGTATCCTCCCTGTCAGTCACGAAACACAAACACAATCAGTGGTCTAGTTGTTGGAAATGACATTGTTCTCTCTCAGCATTCTTTTCTGGCTCAGAACATTGTTGCCTTCATTTCACAGCCATCTCTGAACTTGTGAATCACTTTGTTTCCTAAAAATATTGCTCTTTTAGTTCTCAACTACAAACAGGCAGGGAGAGAACTAGGAGAGGAACCAGCATTTAGTGGATTCCAAGTATTCACCAGATAACCATGATTCTTCTTCCCAGTTTACAGATGAAAATTCTGAATGTTAGGGAGGTTAATCTCAATGGTCAGGCACATAGTAAATGGCGAGTTAGGAATGGGATTCAAAAGAGCCCATCTTTTCCACATATCATATTGTCTTCCCTATAGTAGGCACATGAAAAGTTACTGTATCCTTGTTTATTCACTCAGTATTTACTGAGCCCTTAAGTAACAGGCACTGTTATAAGCACTGGGGATGTGGGGGATAGATAAACTGGTGAAAAATAATGCGGAGAAGGGAAAGGAAGAGTGCCAGCAGTTGGATATGCACTTGGCTGTTTTGCCAGTCACCGAGGGCATCTCTGAGAATGTGATGCTTAAGCAGAGACCTGCAGGAAATGAGAGAGGGAGGTGCAAGAAATCAGAGAGTCCTTCTAGTCAGAAGTTGCGTGGCTAGGGAGTTAAAAGAGCAGCATGGAGGACACTGTGCCTGGAAATTGGGTGAGCCAGAGGAAGGGTGGTGAAAGATGGGTTCAGAGAGATCTTGTCAGAGTTAGAATGGCCTTTATAATAAAATAGTTTCTTAAACTTGTGAAATTAAAAAAAAATGCTTTTTGCTCATAAAATGGGCTTGCTTATCAGCAGCTTCTGTTTTCTATGTAACCTTGGAAAAAGACTTATTTTTTTTAAGTATTAGAGAGGCAGAGAGAGGGAGGGAGGGAGGGAGAGAATAACAGAGAGAGAGAGAGAGAGAGAGAGAGCTCCCATTCACTGGCTTGCTTTCAAATGCTTGCAACAATTGAGACTGGGCCAGGCTGAAGTTAGGAACCAGGAACTCATTCCAGGTGCCCTGCATGGATCATAGGAACCCAGTTACTTGATCTATCATCTGCTGCCTACTGGAATGTGTATTATCCTGAAGCTGGAATTGGTAGTAGAGCTGGGACTCAAACCCAGACACTCTGATACGGGATGTGGGCATAGTCTAGACTACTATGCTGAACACCTGGCCCATGGGGAGATGTCTCGAAGAGAATACTCTACCTTGTAGAGAGTTCAAAATATTCTGCCTGCAGAGAGACAGCAAGACCTCCCTTTCTTTTTAGAGAGACCAAAGAGACCCAATTGAAGTTGTATTTGCTTCTCATTCATTCATTCATTCAATCATTCTTGTACTAATTTATTCAACAGATATTTATTCAACTCTCCTTATGTGTCAGAGACAACTCTGAACTAAAGACTTAGGGTTTTTTTTTTTTTTTTTTTTTTATCCTGAGGAGTTTCTTTATTTCGTTCCAAGTCTGTTTGAAAGTAAATCTTGAAATTGCAAAGTGAGTTACTGGACTGATAGTATCATTCACAATTAAATTTATTGATAATGCACAGCCAAATCAAATATTAATTACATAGTCCCTGTAATATTGCAGCTATCACCCTTACCCCTGATTTCAAATTTACCATTTAACAGCTAAAGACTTAGTTTTAAAATATGGATTCAATTGCTTCTCAGCCTTTTAGCTAAGATCAAATGTAAAATATGGATTCAGCATTAAAAACTAGATAAAATCCGGCCGGCGCCGTGGCTCACTAGGCTAATCCTCCGCCTGCGGCGCCGGCACACTGGGTTCTAGTCCCGGTTGGGGCGCCGGATTCTGTCCCGGTTGCCCCTCTTCCAGGCCAGCTCTCTGCTGTGGCCCGGGAGTGCAGTGGAGGATGGCCCAGGTGCTTGGGCCCTGCACCCCATGGGAGACCAGGAAAAGCACCTGGCTCCTGGCTCCTGCCATCGGATCAGTGCGGTGCGCCGGCCGCAGCGCACCGGCTGCGGCAGCCATTGGAGGGTGAACCAACAGCGAAGGAAGACCTTTCTCTCTGTCTCTCTCTCTCACTGTCCACTCTGCCTGTCAAAAAATAAAAAAAAAATAAAAATAAAACTAGATAAAATCCTGCCTTGGCAGACTTTAAAAACATTTTTTTTTAAATTTATTTGAAAGGAAGAGTTACAGAGAGGGAAGGGA